CAAGAAATTCAACATAGAAGTCCGGTGGAAATCCTACAAGACATTAAGGTCCATTCTGGTAAAAAAAAACAACAACAAACAAACAACCTACCAATGAAAAACACACAAACGTCATTTATGAAATTCCGTGTTTCTGCAACGAAACATACGTTGGAGAAACGGGAGACTCGTGACAAGAATAAAAGAATATAAAGACATTAAGACTCACGAAAACACAAAATTCGGTCACTGCAGAACACGCCATGCCAACTGGACACAAAATAAACTGTGGAAAAAAAACAAACTACAATCATCAACACAGACAAAGTTTGGAAGACAAGAACGAACGAACTTGGTGATAACTCAAACAAGCCTGGTCGGGTTTGTAAAACAAAAAAAAAACCAGGGGCGCTCAGAAAGTTTTGTTTTCTCTTCAGTCCCTACACGCTGTGTTACAGGTACGGCTATAAGAGCATGACAGTTTACAAAGCTAGTTATTCAGGTATGATACATACCAATGTTTGATTGAAGTTTTGTTTCTGTGTGATATTTAGTTTATTGTTAATTAGAAATTAATGGTAGAGTGACTTAATAATTATATAGGTTACCTCTCAAGCGAAGGGAAACTCTGTTCGGATCGATGATCCAGTCTTGTACTTGTATGTCTGTCATGCGGCTCGGAGAACACGTGGCAAGCACGTGTTTTTGTTTGTGCACGTGGTCGTGACATTATCCGTCGGAGTCGGTGAAGAGAGCAGGGAAATATCTTCTGCAGGGCGCCGGATTTGTCCTTGGTATTTTTGAGTTCAGAATTTTCAAAATGATAGTTTTACAGGGAAATATCTTCTGCAGGGCGCCGGATTTGTCCTTGGTATTTTTGAGTTCAGAATTTTCAAAATGATAGTTTTACAGGGAAATATCTTCTGCAGGGCGCCGGATTTGTCCTTGGTATTTTTGAGTTCAGAATTTTCAAAATGATAGTTTTACAGGGAAATATCTTCTGCAGGGCGCCGGATTTGTCCTTGATATTTTTGAGTTCAGAATTTTTCTGTGGGAAGATGACGTGTTAAATAGGTTAATAGCACGTAAACATTAGCTAGGAATGAGTTAGCCATGTTGTTTACAGGAACACGCATATTTAAACCTCAAGCCCAAGTATGACGACATATTTCTAAACAAAATATTTTTATCTCATGCTTGTGGTAAATCATGCTTATAACACAGGAATGGTTAATTTTATGTTTAAAGATTTACTTCAACTAGGCCTGGTTAGGGCACTCGACTCACTATCTGTGGGTCGCGGGTTCGAATTTTCGTCACACCAAACATACTCGCCCTTTCAGCCATGGGGGGCGTTACAAGTGATGGTCGATCCCATTATTCGTTGGCAAAAGAGTAGCTCAAGAGATGGCGGCGGGGTGGTGTTGATTACTGCTTTCCCTCTAGCCCATCACTTCAAAAGTAGCGATGGCTAGCGCAGATATAGCGCTCGTGTAGCTTTGCGCGAAATTCAAAACAAACAAGTTAGTTCAACTAACCTAAGCTTGATATTCCTAAGGAAAAGACGTACCTTGCTCCTTCAACGAAACTATGGCCTCAAACAGTAGCTTCAACGCGTGCGAGAAATTCCCGACAAACGATAGACGAAAAGAAACCGACAGTAACACACAGTACGAAGAACAAACCCGGCAGACTAGAAGAAGAACAGAACTCTGTCAGACCCCCCAGCACTAGCCATTCTACAGGTAAGTCTGGTTTTGATGCACAAGTACAGTCAACATTTGCTAAAGATATAACACACAAATTACAAAGCCTAATAGACCTTGCCAAAAAGGACTATACACTTAAAATCAAATATCGGAGAAAACAAAACTCAAGAAGACCTCTGTACATAAAATTAACACAAATTTTCATACAAAACGTCCAGATATGGAGGAAATTGACACCCCTGAACAAGGAGAAGAACACATCAAACCACACGCAGAACCCCCAAGAAGCAAACTAAACTAAACATGAACACAACGAAAAAACAGAACAAACAAACACTGAGCTAAAACATACATCACAAAGCTATAGACGAACAAAGGTTTAGAAGGCGTCTTACGGCCATTAACTGAGTAGTCGGTTGAGGTCAGCGGCCTCTGACCCTTTAACGAGGACGTAGCCCTTAGCCAGACATTTGATAGCAGCGAGTTAAGATTCTCTGTATTATTATGGAAAATTGTGGTGTGTTTTTTGTGTTCTGTATTGATTTGTTCGTCTATAGCTTTGTGATGTATGTTTTAGCTCAGTGTTTGTTTGTTCTGTTTTTTCGTTGTGTTCATGTTTAGTTTAGTTTGCTTCTTGGGGGTTCTGCGTGTGGTTTGATGTGTTCTTCTCCTTGTTCAGGGGTGTCAGTTTCCTCCATATCTGAACGTTTTGTATGAACATTTGTGTTGATTTTATGTACAGAGGTCTTCTTGAGTTTTGTTTTCTCTAAGCGTTTTTTTGTGTTCTGTATTGGAAGGAAGTTTTACAGTACACATATCAGGCAACAAACCTAACCCAAAATATTTTGAAATAAAAGATTTACACTCAAGCATCACAAACGAAGAAATAGAAACAGAACTCACACACAAACACATACGATACACCAAAGTCGAACGTCTTTTCTCTAACAGAACACAAAAACTCTCATATTGAGTCAAAATATGTGTACATGAAACAAAATATCCATCCCCCCCAGTAGCACAGCGGGATGTCTCCGGACTTACAATGCTAGAAACCGGGTTTCGATACCCGTGGTGGGCAGAGCACAGATAGCCCTTGTGTAGCTTTGTGCATAATTAAAAAAAAACAACAAAATATCCAGAGCGTGATATCAAATGGTATCATTTTCTGGTATCAAAAAATACACCGTTGAACCT